TTACGCATAAGTTTGCTTTTCGTTCTGACCATCCTCACAAAATATATCAAAGCGGAATATAAAACTGGAAACAATTCTCTCTCTTTAGAAAGTAATATTGGGCATTTTTCTGTGACGATTACAAGAGATCATTATCACTCGTCGTCCGATACTTAAACTTCAGCTGTTTCTACCATAAAACAAGAAATGATACATTTGGGGTATTTTTGCCGTCTGAACAACTCCCAATTACAGAAACAGGTTGCCATTTAACAGAAGAAGGTTTAAGWTACATATAGACTAAAATGGAAGGAACTCTTTGTGTGGACACTTCCTGAGATAACGAGAAATGTGATGAAAAAAAAAACCCTAAGGAAACTGTTACGAATGCTGTATATTTTTCACACGTAAGTACGACAAGACCATTAATTATCTGAGCCTGAAGTGGGTCTATATCTGGAGTAAAGTATAGATAAAGTAAATATATGCTTTGCGAGTTAGCTACTGTGAGACAGGCTGAGATAATGTGAGACATTGAGTTATGTATCATACGTGTAACTTGAAGAAACCAGGACATATATGCCTTAGGCTATACGTCGAACTTTACATAACTCCTAGTTAAGTAGATCATGCAGGCTTAGCCTGGGTATGTGTAATTTATATTTTTGTATTGGGAAGTCTTTAATTTTTTCAAAAAAGCATTTTGCACTATAAACTTCTCATAAAACAAAAATGTGATGATTTTTTTTTTTACTATTTTTCCCTTGAACAGTTCCTTTTGAGTTTATGTTTTGGTCGATTTTTACGGCCGTTCATAGAAATGCTCGCACATACAGAACTTTGAATAATAAATCTTCATGATTTTTTTTAGATCAAACGTCCAGGAGAATATTCCATTGGCGCTKCTTGCMGTCDTGGCTGTGAAGTATGGTGGAAGAGAATACAAGAACCAGGCCTTGATGATTATGGGACATCTGGAGATATGATTATTAAACTAGCATCAACCTTACAACCAAATAAATACGAAAGGTAAAAATACTGAATTCATTACAAGCCCACATTTGCAGAAACTGAAGATACTTCCTGAGGTTAGCTCTTTTACGGTCTTGAATGTTTCCTATGAATTTCTCCATGAAATTACATGAAAACGTCCTTGTAGTGTGCTCAAGTGAGGCCATTAGTGAACATTAGGGCGGGTAATATTCGAGTTACGAGCTTCGAGTTACGCGCTTTTCGAGTTACGCGCTCGACCACGCCCAAATTTGCCTCGGTCACGCCCAGCTCATAACTCGATGCAACTAACATACATTAGTGCCTTCGAGTTACGCGCTGCAACTAAAATAACTTAGTGTCTACGAGTTACGCGCTTTTAAATCAAAATCAATATATAAAAGAGCTAATTGTTTTTACGGCTTTTATTTTCCAAGGAAACGAAGGAAAAGCCGGACTCTTCTTTTACGAAAGATGATTTTATTAGCCAAATATGTCAAGGGTTAAAATTACAAAAGGCAGCCCTGGCTAGAAATTACAAAAATTAGTGCAAAAAGACGGTAATAAAAAATAGTTATTATGCATTAATATGTGCAACTTCATGCCCAAGAAGGGGGGGGGGCTTAAAAACAGATTCCTCAAGCAGAAAATTAGCCAGAACCCCCCCCCCTTCCGAAGCATAAGAAAATAGCTCTTACCCCCCTTTTTCTATACTAGAAATAAC